GGATCATACCTACCCCAATGACTGCCTGGTGGTAGGATGGATGATACCTACCCTAATGACTGTCTGGTGGTAGGATGGATCATAACTACTCTAATGACTGTTTGGTGGTAGGATGGATCGAACCTACCCCAATGACTGTCTGGTGGTAGGATGGATCATACCTACTCTAATGACTGTCTGGTGGTAGGATGGATCATACCTACCCTAATGACTGTTTGGTGGTAGGATGGATCATACCTACCCTAATGACTGTCTGGTGGTAGGATGGATCAAACCTACCCCGATGACTGTCTGGTGGTAGGATGGATCATACCTACCCCAATGACTGTCTGGTGGTAGGATGGATCATACCTACCTCAATGACTGTCTGGTGGTAGGATGGTTCATACCTACCTCAATGACTGTCTGGTGGTAGGATGGATCATACCTACCCCAATGACTGTTTGGTGGTAGGATGGATCATACCTAACCCAATGACTGCCTAGTGGTAGGATGGATCATACCTACTCTAATGACTGCCTAGTGGTAGGATGGATCATACCTACTCTAATGACTGCCTGGCGGTAAGATGGATCATACCTACCCCAATGACTGCCTGGTGGTAGGATGGTTCATACCTACCTCAATGACTGCCTAGTGCAAGGATGAATCATACCCTCCCCAATGACTGTCTGGTGCAGGGATGGATCATACCTACCCTAATGACTGTCTGGTGGTAGGATGGATCATACCCTCCCCAATGACTGCCTGGTGGTTGGATGGATCTAACCTTCCCTAATGACTGCCTGATGGTAGGATGGATCATACAATCCCTAATAACTGCGTGGTGGAAGGATGGATCATACCTACTCTAATGACTGTCTGGTGGTAGAATGGATGACACCTACCCCAATGACTGTCAGGTGGAGGGATGGATGATACCTACCCCAATGACTGTCTGGTGGAGGGATGGATCATACCTACCCCAATGACTGCCTGGCGGTAGGATGGATCAAACCTACCCTAATGACTGCCTGGCGGTAGGATGGATCAAACCTACCCTAATGACTGCCTGGCGGTAGGATGGATCATACCTACCCTAATGCCTGCCTGGCGGCAGGACAGATCAAACCTATGCTAATGACTGCCTGGCGGTAGGATGGATCAAACCTCCCCTAATGACTGCCTTGCGGTAGGATGGATCAAACCTACCCTAATGACTGCCTGGTGGTAGGATGGATCATACAATCCCTAATAACTGCGTGGTGGAAGGATGGATCATACCTACTCTAATGACTGTCTGGTGGTAGGATGGATGACACCTACCCCAATGACTGTCAGGTGGAGGGATGGATCATACCTACCCTAATGACTGCCTGGTGGTAGGATGGTTCATACCTACCTCAAAGACTGCCTGGTGCAAGGATGAATCATACCTTCCCCAATGACTGTCTGGTGCAGGAATGGATCATACCTACCCGAATGACTGCCTGGTGGTAGGATGGATCATACCTACCCCAATCACTGTCTGATGGTAGGATGGATCATACCTACCCCTAATGACTGCCTGGTGGAAGGATGGATCATACCTACTCTAATGACTGCCTGGTGGTGGTAGGATGGACCATACCTACCCTAATGACTGCCTGGTGGTAGGATGGATCATACCTACCTTAATGACTGCCTGGTGGTAGTATGGTTCATACCTACCCCAATGACTGCCTGGTGCAAGGATGGATCATACCTACCCCAATAACAGTCTGGTGGTAGGATGGATCATACCTACCCTAATGACTGCCTGGTGGTAGGATGGTTCATACCTACCTCAAAGACTGCCTGGTGCAAGGATGAATCATACCTTCCCCAATGACTGTCTGGTGCAGGAATGGATCATACCTACCCGAATGACTGCCTGGTGGTAGGATGGATCATACCTACCCCAATCACTGTCTGATGGTAGGATGGATCATACCTACCCCAATGACTGCCTGGTGGTAGGATGGATGATACCTACCCCAATGACTGTCTGGTGGTAGGATGGATCATACCTACTCTAATGACTGCCTGGTGGTAGGATGGATCATACCTACCCCAATGACTGTCTGGTGGTAGGATGGATCATACCTTCCCTTAATGACTGTCTGGTGGTAGGATGGATCATACCTACCCCAATGACTGTTTGGTGGGAGGATGGATCATACCTACTCTAATGACTGTCTGGTGGTAGGATGGATCATACCTTCCTTAATGACTGTCTGGTGGTAGGATGGATCATACCTTCCTTAATGACTGTCTGGTGGTAGGATGGATCATACCTACTCTAATGACTGTTTGGTGGTAGGATGGATCATACCTACCCCAATGACTGCCTGGTGGTAGGATGGATGATACCTACCCCAATGACTGTCTGGTGGTAGGATGGATCATACCTACTCTAATGCCTGCCTGGTGGTAGGATGGATCATACCTACCCCAATAACTGTCTGGTGGTAGGATGGATCATACCTTCCTTAATGACTGTTTGGTGGTAGGATGGATCATACCTACCCCAATGACTGCCTGGTGGTAGGATGGATGATACCCACCCTAATGACTGTCTGGTGGTAGGATGGATCATAACTACTCTAATGACTGTTTGGTGGTAGGATGGATCAACCTACCCCAATGACTGTCTGGTGGTAGGATGGATCATACCTACTCTAATGACTGTCTGGTGGTAGGATGGATCATACCTACCCTAATGACTGTTTGGTGGTAGGATGGATCATACCTACCCTAATGACTGTCTGGTGGTAGGATGGATCAAACCTACCCCGATGACTGTCTGGTGGTAGGATGGATCATACCTACCCCAATGACTGTCTGGTGGTAGGATGGATCATACCTACCTCAATGACTGTCTGGTGGTAGGATGGTTCATACCTACCTCAATGACTGTCTGGTGGTAGGATGGATCATACCTACCCTAATGACTGTTTGGTGGTAGGATGGATCATACCTAACCCAATGACTGCCTAGTGGTAGGATGGATCATACCTACTCTAATGACTGCCTAGTGGTAGGATGGATCATACCTACTCTAATGACTGCCTGGCGGTAAGATGGATCATACCTACCCCAATGACTGCCTGGTGGTAGGATGGTTCATACCTACCTCAATGACTGCCTGGTGCAAGGATGAATCATACCCTCCCCAATGACTGTCTGGTGCAGGGATGGATCATACCTACCCTAATGACTGTCTGATGGTAGGATGGATCATACCCTCCCCAATGACTGCCTGGTGGTTGGATGGATCATACCTCCCTTGACTGCCTGATGGTAGGATGGATCATACAATCCCTAATGACTGCCTGGTGGAAGGATGGATCATACCTACTCTAATGACTGTCTGGTGGTAGGATGGATCATACCTACCCCAATGACTGCCTGGTGGAAGGATGGATCATACCTACTCTAATGACTGTCTGGTGGAGGGATGGATCATACCTACCCCAATGACTGCCTGGCGGTAGGATGGATCAAACCTACCCCAATGACTGCCTGGTGGTAGGATGGATCATACCTACCTCAATGACTGCCTGGTGGTGGGATGGATCATACCCTCCCTAATGCCCCAATGACTGCCTGGTGGTAGGATGGATCATACCTACCCTAATGACTGCCTGGTGGTAGGATGGATCATACAATCCCTAATAACTGCGTGGTGGAAGGATGGATCATACCTACTCTAATGACTGTCTGGTGGTAGAATGGATGACACCTACCCCAATGACTGTCAGGTGGAGGGATGGATCATACCTACCCCAATGACTGTCTGGTGGTAGGATGGATCATACCTACCCCAATGACTGCCTGGCGGTAGGATGGATCAAACCTACCCTAATGACTGCCTGGCGGTAGGATGGATCAAACCTACCCTAATGACTGCCTGGCGGTAGGATGGATCATACCTACCCTAATGCCTGCCTGGCGGCAGGACAGATCAAACCTATGCTAATGACTGCCTGGCGGTAGGATGGATCAAACCTCCCCTAATGACTGCCTTGCGGTAGGATGGATCAAACCTACCCTAATGACTGCCTGGTGGTAGGATGGATCATACAATCCCTAATAACTGCGTGGTGGAAGGATGGATCATACCTACTCTAATGACTGTCTGGTGGTAGAATGGATGACACCTACCCCAATGACTGTCAGGTGGAGGGATGGATCATACCTACCCTAATGACTGCCTGGTGGTAGGATGGTTCATACCTACCTCAAAGACTGCCTGGTGCAAGGATGAATCATACCTTCCCCAATGACTGTCTGGTGCAGGAATGGATCATACCTACCCGAATGACTGCCTGGTGGTAGGATGGATCATACCTACCCCAATCACTGTCTGATGGTAGGATGGATCATACCTACCCTAATGACTGCCTGGTGGAAGGATGGATCATACCTACTCTAATGACTGCCTGGTGGTAGGATGGACCATACCTACCCTAATGACTGCCTGGTGGTAGGATGGACCATACCTACCTTAATGACTGCCTGGTGGTAGTATGGTTCATACCTACCCCAATGACTGCCTGGTGCAAGGATGGATCATACCTACCCCAATAACAGTCTGGTGGTAGGATGGATCATACCTACCCTAATGACTGCCTGGTGGTAGGATGGTTCATACCTACCTCAAAGACTGCCTGGTGCAAGGATGAATCATACCTTCCCCAATGACTGTCTGGTGCAGGAATGGATCATACCTACCCGAATGACTGCCTGGTGGTAGGATGGATCATACCTACCCCAATCACTGTCTGATGGTAGGATGGATCATACCTACCCTAATGACTGCCTGGTGGAAGGATGGATCATACCTACTCTAATGACTGCCTGGTGGTAGGATGGACCATACCTACCCTAATGACTGCCTGGTGGTAGGATGGACCATACCTACCTTAATGACTGCCTGGTGGTAGTATGGTTCATACCTACCCCAATGACTGCCTGGTGCAAGGATGGATCACACCTACCTTAACGACTTCCGGGTATGGAAGCGACATGGCGTCATCATAGTCACTACGGTCATCGGTACCAACATCTTCGTAGATATCTTCGTCGGGAGGTGAGTATTGTACTGTCTGGGATGGCTTCGTGTATCCTCCGTGACTCTGTCCCACGATTCCGTCTGTTTCGTCCAGTAACTTCAGGTAACCCCCCTCTTCACCATCAGTCGTTGTTTCCCCGGAATGGCGCTTTATTTCAGCTGTAACACAGAAATAAATACAACCTATTTTCGGTCTTTGCAAGCTGAATGATTGAATATTAAGACATTTAATAAGCATTCATCGAGGGGGCTTTGGTCCATCAGCTAGCGCCCGTTCCAGGAGACATTACAACCCTCGATCTGTGAGAATAGTTTGTGGTGTTGTTAGGATGTAACTAAAACATTTGTTGACGCTGCAATAGTGCTGGTCTGTAAATAATAGAACCTGGACCACCCGATCCAGTGATCAACAGTATGAGCATCGATCCACAGAATTGGAATACAACGAAATGTGTCAACCGAGTCAGCGAGTCTGACCATCCGATCCCATTAGTCGCCACTTACGACAAGAAAGTCAAGTCAAAACATTGATTACACAACAGTCTCGTTTCCTGTTGACTGGGTTCCGTCCTATTGCGCAACTTAGTACAATAACCAGTCCAGAATTTCGAGAGCAATTCATTTAACAGGATACATAAATTTAGTCAGAATTATTTGATACATTTAAGCAACTTGTATATTGCAACACTACGCTCCTTATAATCCTTGCAAACATGTCGTGAAGCGTACTCTGTCGTACAGCGTGCTCTGTCGTACAGCGAGCTCTGACAAACGGAAACATGGAAATCGATCTGGTACGGAATTGATATTATATCAATCACATTGTGCGTTACAGAACTACTCTGAATAAGCGCAAAAAACTCATAACAGGTGTGACCAGTGAGCCAGATACATAGTGAATCATTTTACGACCTCATCAAACAGGGGCAGTCTGCGACGTCTTAGTTAAGGCCATGCTGCCAACACCTCGCCATAAAATATAGAAATACGATGTTATTAAAGTTTAGAATTAAAATTCATTTGTAAATACCATTTTCTTATGAAACAGGGAATTTGAATTAAATGTTACCATATAGTTGTTTGTGATGTCTAATGCCTCTTTCACACGAGAAATTTCGGATCGGCTGAAAAGTAGGTCATTGTCTGAATAGGTTAAAGGTCACATGCAACGTAAAACACAACTTTGCAGATTCTAATACCTTTCGGTATGGACTTACCGAAACAAATCATGAAAAATGCAAATTCAACTTATAAAGTTGAAAAATAACGCGATGAAAAAACCGCGCGAAATCGGAGTTTAAACGTTTCACTAATTTTCCCCTACTTTTCGGGGGAAAACGGGTTTCAACAGCTGGGCTGCGCTCATAGCACGTGCGCAGTGAAATAGGTTTGCGCAGCTTGGAAGTGGGTTGTCGGGTGAATACTCAGTGAACGCTTTGGTGTGAGCTATTTTTCTAATGTTTTGTTGATATTTCACAGGCGCGAGCTTTTTATATGTTATGACAGTAGATTAACTGTTTATATAATTTCATTTGTCTATTTCACCACACGTTCTTCTTACCGAGTCACTTTCTCAGTTCGATACTTAAAGCAATGTCATTATTTAGCGTTGACACAGACAAAACTCAATGTCTGTTTTATTGACACCCATGTGTCTGCCTGCCTGTCTGCTAATGACAATATTCAATACACAACTGCGATCACTGACCACATGCAATTTGAACTTAACACCAATCAGGCTATACACCATAAACAAAATGCATTGTTTTATGGCCCGAGTTCGGTCTCTGTCACATTATGTAATTACACAGACAGGCAGGTGTGATACTTGTACACATGACATGTTATGATGTCTGTTGATTGCGATGTCTGTTGATTGCAAAATGTTATGCACAAAAAATGAGCATGTATTTACAAAACCCAACATCTCTATATATACACACACAATGAGCCGTGAGGGCATCTGTAAATGAACCAGCCGTTACACTTGAGTGCACACCCACCCGCTCTGACTGGGTTCGGTATCCCGGCTGCTTCGTTTCTTGGGAAGTAAACCCAAGTACACAATATTGCACTTTTGATTTGCGATTGTACGCTTATAATTTTGTTTATATGTTTTTTCATAACCAGCAATGTATATTATATGTCATGAATAAGTGATAATTGTGTTTTAATTATGTTTGATTTTTTGGTTGCATGTGACCTTTAATGAGACTCATGTTTCGGTTTGTGGGTTCCTGAAGACCAATTCTAACCCGGATATCATGTGACTTTTAAAAACAGAAGATAGCAAAAAGAAAAAGGAAATATATCCTCCTTTAAGAAACATACCTTCCTTTTGTTTACAGACCTCCGCAAAATCCCCCAAACCAAGATGAGGATCAGCCAGCGCTCTGAGAAGATACTTGAACCAGTCCGTCTTCTTGACGAGTTGAGTAAACAGATAATCGCAAGCTTGCCATCTTCCGCCAGAATTCATTTTGGCCCTCATTTCATCCTAAATATCAGTACATCTTAAATATGAATAAAGTCCTGAGTGAATACATCAATAATTAAACCCTCGAATGTTAATTAAAATACACTGTGGTGTGTTGGCTTGTCACCTGATCCACACGTACACATCATTTTAATAACTATGATCAAATATTGGTTGCAGAGTTTAAATATCGGATCACAAATCAGTGATCCGTTTTCAAAGACACGTCAGCTGTGATCGTTCCTACTTTGTTTCAGATGTATCTTATACTTTCAGAGCAGAGGGATGAGTGAGAGTAGGTGTGTTTAGTTTTGCGCCGAACTCAGCAATATTCCAGCTATATGGCGGCGATCTGAAAATAATCGAGTCTGGGCCAGACAATCCAATCCATCGATCTATGCAATTGGGATACGATGACATGTGTCAACCAAGTCAGCGAGCCTGACCACCCGATCCCGTTAGTCGCCTCTTACGATAAGCGTGGGTTGCTGACCTGCTCACCTGGATCTTCGCGGGTATATGGGATGAAGTAGGGTTGAATTGCCCATTCAAGATTATTACACTTACGCGGTGAGGTGCATATCCATTACAGCATTCACTAACGCTAGACAAACAAGGATACGTGGAGGCCAAAGGTCGTACCTTGATGACCAAAGTATGCCGAAAGGAACAGTTTCAATATGGCCGCCGCAGCAGACATGTTCTCAAACGGAGCTGATTTCTTAGTAGTTTTAAAAGTCTCAACAGCTGGGTTTATTCAAACAAAGTTTCAGCTCCACAAGACTTGTAGTTTGAGACACACTTTGGAAATATACTCTCCAAACAAAGAAACGCATCATGAAAATAGCAATTTCATGTAGCAATGAATTAAAACGTGATTCATTTTACAAAAGGTTTTGCTCTGTTTATGAGTCCTATGGTGTTTATGTTTTGAAACATCACAACAAAACGCACCATCCGTAAAATACCCGTATTTAACAGCATGATTTTCAATTTCGGCGTGTAGTGTCACAGAATACACAATTCACATGCAATGCACGTGAAAGTTGGGGATCAGATAGTCTCAATGATGGGTATAAAAGGTTGATCGCTGTTTGTCGATTATTCACTGTATTTGGAATATTGTTGACGAACGCAAAATGCCACGTCTAAGTGAAGCCAACCGTCATATCGCCATTGGTTTGCTTGAAGCTGGCCAGTCTCAACGTGCAGTTGCCCGACGCATGATTGTTTACCAAAGCACCATTTCACGGCTCTGGGAGAGATATCGCCGGCAGAATGCGGAAGCAGATGCCCCTCGTAGTGGGCGACCTCGAGCGACCACTGCAGCGCAGGATCGCTACATCCGGGTTCATCACCTGCGTCATCGAACAGCTACGGCGACCAGTACCGCTCGACAAATACCCGGATTGAGGAGGCTTTCTGCACAGACCGTCGGGAACAGGTTGAGAGAGGCTGGTTTACGTGCCAGAAGACCTTATTTTGGCCCTGTGCTTCGACAACAACATCGTCGACATCGAGTTCAATGGTGCACCAACGGTTCAGGCCTGGAACCTACCGAATTGGCGTAGAATCTGGTTCAGTGATGAATCACGATTTCTATTGGAACGACGCGGTGGAAGAATGCGGGTGTACAGACGTCGACGTGAACGTTTCGCCGACGCTTGCGTTCCCCAGGTGGACAGATTCGGCCGGGGTAGTGTTATGATGTGGGGGGGATCACCTGCCGTAGGAGAAGTGATTTGGTGATGATCCAGGGCAACCTGACAGGTCAACGGTACTGTGACGAAATCCTACGCCAACACCTCCTTCCAATCATTGATCGCCAGAGGGAGTTGTTTCAACAGGACAATGCCAGGCCCCACACAGCACGTCACACTAGAGATTTCCTCCAGAACCACAACATCAATGTACTCCCCTGGCGCTCAAGATCACAGGACTTAAACCCGATCGAACATCTGTGGGATGCCCTGGACAGACGGGTGCGACGCCGTAACCCTCAGCTCCAGACACTTCAGCAACTCGCACAGGCACTACAGGCAGTGTGGGCTGCGATTGGGCAACACGAGATTCTGAGACTTATTCGTTCGATGCCGAGGTGATGCCGTGCAGTTTTGGATGCCCACGGTGGCCACACAAGGTATTGACTTCAGCGCCACCACACGTCTCCATGTGACACTCAAACTGACTTTCCTCGAGTTGGTGCCAAAGACGGATAAGTCTGCATTCCCAGTGTGCAATTTCGCTATATTTCATTGAGTCATAAAACCTACAAGATGTTTCAAAATAAACATAAAAATACAGTTGAAATTCCTATATGCGTTTCTTTTTTGGGAGAGTATATTTGTAGGTGGATTTTTAACGTTATAACACGACAACCGTCAGCATGCTTACCTCCTGTTTGTCCGTTAGTCTCACTTTGTGTGACAACGCGTCATTCAACAGCACTGGGTCCACCCTGTATTTGAATGACTTACATATAGCCCACTTAAGGCGTTGGTTAACACTGAATCTTTCCGTGTCGCTCTCGGAAGTAGCCATTGTGCCCTCAGTACACTTACCTGAAAAAGTCACAAGAAACCCACATGTAAAAAATATATGACTAAGTAATCTGGTTTTTCAGTTGTATAAACAAATGT